GCAGATCTCTAGGACAAACTTAACTTTGGCTCACCTTGTTCCCTAAACCCATGCACATGAGTCTTTTCTGTTTTTAGCTGCATAGTCTGAGCTGTAATTAATTTCTCTGCTCACCAGTTTATGAAAAATTTTTGGTCCATATTGTACAAAGTTGTTACTAGTGCATAACAATCAAGAAAGGCAAATATTCTATTCAGCACAGAAAAAAATAATATAATGGCATTTTCGGGTATAGTAAGAGGCTTATATTCTGATAGAAGTATTCATATTCTTAGGTCTAGGTGATGCATATGAACCCCTTACATTTTTGAGGTAATATATTCTGTATGTACATTTATCTTTGCTGAGAATTAATAATTTCATTGGATTTTTCAAGGATTCATGTAAACATACAAATAAATGAAGGAACTAACAAATAATGAAAAACCAGGAGACGTAAGAGTCATTCTCACAATAAATTCTTACTACAAGTTTTTATTTATTTATTTTTTTGAATTGAGCCTTTTCTTATTCCCTTTGTAATTAAATGGCCTACAAAACTGATCTAGAGAGCTAACTTCTAAATTGTAGTAAAGGGTAATCTGCAAATCTTCATTTGGGGATCTTCAATTTTGGGGTTTTTTTTTTGGTGGTTTTGGTTTTGGTTTTGATTTTTGGATAGGAGGCAGGAGCTGTTATTCTCTGTCCTTATAATTGTGTGTTGCAGGCAAGGGTGAGTCATATGTGGAGTAGCAGGTTGTTCTTTGCTCAAAGTAGGCCAAAAATGGATTAATGATCTGCTGATACAGTCTTAAAATTATTTTTAAATGTTTCAATGAGGATATTTATATTTGCTTTCCTACTTGACCCAATTTATTGTAGCTGGCCCCAGGTCCAGGCTTTACACTTTCTGTTTCTCCCTGTCCTTGCTCATATCCTGTTACTTCCCTGCTGGTTATCCCTCCATCACAGAGAGATTCACCCAGTACTGACCCACCAAACCCAGATGTTCCTTGTTCACAAAGTATTCATTCCCGTTTCTACTCACAGTACAAAGGCAGCCAGACATGCTGTGCTTCTTTCTTTGTACCAATGTCCTATTCATAATCCATTTTGCTTCTTTTTCCTTGTAAGTGCCTCTGCTCTACTTTGGTTGGGTATTTCTAGATTTCACATAACAAGCGATCATTAAGTGACATCCAGAGTGAGTTCTGCAAATAAACCTCTTGGGTATAATTTCTGGCTATAACTTATTTAAAAATATGAAATTCCCACATTCTGATCTTTTTCCCTTTCATTTTTATCTATCCCAGTAACCACCACCTGTACTCAGGTGCTTCCTGGTGTAGAGAACTATGAACATGTCTCTTGTGTCAATTTACTTCCATCATACAAACATATGAATTTATTGGTTTGAGAATATTTTATGTTAGATATTTCTTGAAGAGTAGCTAAAACTACCCACTTATCCCTGTCTTCCAGTGGAACTCGCTAACAATAATCTTAGGGGAAAAGTCATAGGTGGAGATGACTCACACTTTTAATGAAATGACAGGTGGTGTTCTAGAGACTTCTCACGTGGAATTTCCTGTACTTGTCTGAAATCTGTGCACACACACATTACTGACACTTCTGGAGAAAGAGCACACATGGCATCTTTGCACATGTTCTTTATTCTTCACATAACACCATTCTTTGACTGGAGGACAGTAAGTGAAACAGGGAAACACAGAAGAAAAATACTGCATGCTTTCCCTCATACGTGGAAACCAAAAGGGTGATCTCAGGAGGAAGGAGTGGAAGAATGACTGCTAGAGATTGGGAATGGGTAGGAAGAGAGATGTTGGTTAACAGAAGACAATTATAAATACGTGAGAAGAATAAGTTCTAGTTCTATAAAGTGCATTGGGTAACTGTAGTTGAAAATAATTTAATGCGTATTTCAGAGTAGCTGAAACAGTAGGTTTCAAATGTTCCCCAATGCAAGGTAAAAATGTTCCCAGGGCAAGATAATGACAAATGGTTGAGATGACAAATAGGTTAATTACCCTGATTTAATCATTACATATTTTATCTTGTACTGAAAAATCACATTGCACCTAATATGTACAATTATTATATGTCAAAATAAAATTAAAATAGAAAAAATACTATTATATCTTGTTCTCTTCCTCCTTCAGTATGTTGCTAAAAACAAACAAATAAACCAACAAACAAAACAGTTGCTTTGGAAGTGAGATATCCTTTGACTTTTCTGTTTGCTACTTGAAACACCATTCATTTTCTTACAGTTATATCCACCTCTGGCCATTAGGAAGAATGAAAAAGGGAAAGAATTTATCATTTGTTTAGTACTGTATCAATAGGGTCTAATCCCATAATATGTTGACTATAAAAAATTCTCGTTTTCTAAATATCTAAGCAGAACACACATTCCTATCACTACTTTTAATAGGGAAATTAGTGACCTGGGTCTATTAACCTTTCTGCACTTTATTTTTCATTTTTTTCCATGGTAATGTGAGTATAATGAAAGCATACACTACATAGGGTTTTGTGAGTATTAAATCTGTTATTATTGCATGTGAAAATCTTAGAACTATGCCGGGGACCAGCCTCGGCGGGGGTGGGTTGGTTGGACGGAGGCGACGCTGGAAGAAAAGAAAGACAAAGGCCTCACGCTTTTTCATGCACGTCCTAAGCCCGACACTCCTCTAAAATCGCTCTCTGAGGAGTGACAACTGCTAGGAAATATCGTGCCTTTTTATTGAAAATGAGATACATGCAAGTAAATGGGAGAGGGGCTACGTGACCTAATGATTAATTCATAAAGTTTTAACAATTGAGATCAAAGATTCTATTCAAGGGAACCAGCAGTTAGCGTAATGGCTATGTCACTGGACTCCCACATAGTTGACCGCGGTTCGTGTCCCGGTCCCGGTGGCTTAAAACTCACGCCGGGCGCGTGTGCGTGCATGCCCAAGATCCCGAGAGGAGAATGGAGGAGAAGGGATTGAGGCGTGACCATCCCCCCTGGGGGGTGATTTCTCGCTTTCTGTCTCTATGTCTCTCTCTGTCTGTCTGGTGAGCGCAC